TATTGTCTTATTACTCGACTTGTGACTCGACAGCACATAACAACAACAACAACAACAACATTTTCTTTACAGTTATAATTTTAAATAGAAGTTTTGACATTCTAATGAGTGAATGTCTGATCATTTACTGAAATAATTCCTTTACATTAGAATATACTGCTAGCATAAGTACAGTTAACATTTTAATACTGAGAAATATATTCATATTTTAATTTACTTTCTTCAGACAACTTTACAGAAGCAAGACCACTTGATAAAACTATAACAATATTTTTACAGCTCTAAAAACATTCTTTACACAGTATTGCTGATTTCGCAAAAGACTATATGATCATTGCTTTCATTAAAACTAAGGGCAGGGGGAATTATGGATAATTGATATTAATATGGCTAACTTGATACTCATTAAGCTATACCAACACCCTGTTGCTGTTGTTCCATGCCATCAAGTTGCCAGTGACTCATAGTGACCCTATGTACCTTGTTCAGGCCCAGGAAGTATTAAAAGAAGATAGAAAGAATATACTGAGTCACTGTATCGAAAGAAATTGGCAGACACAGAAGAATTTCATGAAATGACATATGAGCAAGAGCCTATGCTGATGAAGGAAGAAGTTCAAGCTGCTTTGAAGGAAATAGCTAAAAATAAGGTCCCGGGAATAGATGGTATACCAATTGAAGTCTCACTAATTCCAACATACCTATCCCCATTGCCCCAGTTACTGTATCAATCCGTCTCATCCAGGGTCTTCCTATCCTGTGCTGTCCCTCCACCCTTCCAAGCATGATATTCTTCTCTAAGGACCAGTCCCTCCTGGCCACATGCCCAAAGTATGTGAGATGGAGCTTCAGAATCCTAGCCTCCAAGGAGAAACTTTATTTCACCCTCTCCAAGACAGACCTATTTGTTTTCTTGGTATGTTCAAGACTCTTCTCTAGCACCACAAATCGAAGACATTGATTCTTCTTCTGGCAAGTTATCCGAAAGCCTTGGCAAAAAAATAAACCCCAGGAATTGATAGAATACCAATTGACATATTTCAAGAAATAGATGCAGCCCTGAAGGTGCTCACCAAGTTGTGCTAAGAAATCTGGAGGACAACTGCCTAGGCAACAGACTGAGAAGAGATCCTTATTTATTCCAATTCCAAAAAAAAGGTGGCCCAAAGGACTGTGGAAATTATAGGCAAAATTTTAAATGATCCAGGAAGTATTAAAAGAAGATGGAAAGAATATACTGAGTCACTGTATCGAAAGAAATTGGCAGACACAGAAGAATTTCATGAAACGACATATGAGCAAGAGTCTATGCAGATGAAGGAAGAAGTTCAAGCTGCTTTGAAGGAAATAGCAAAAAATAAGGTCCTGGGAATAGATGGTATACCAATTGAAGTACTTCAACTAACAGTTGCTTCCCTGGATGTGCTCACCAGGTTGGGCCAAGAAATCTGGAAAACAACCACCTGGCCAACTGACTGGAAGAGATCTATATTTGCTCCCATCCCCAAAAAGGGTGACCCAAAAGAGTGTAAAATTATAGTATCATTGATTTCACATGCAAGCAAGATTCTCCAGAAGATTACCCAAAAATGACTGGAATAGCACATCAGCAGTGAACTACCAGAGTCCAGGCTGGGTTTAGAAAGGGTCATGGTACTAGGGATATTGTACCTGATGTTAGATGGATCTTAGTTGAAAGCAAAGAATACCAGAGGAATGTCTATCTGTCATTGATTATGCAAAGGCATTTGACTGTGTGAATCGTATAAACTGTGGCTGACTCTGAGAAGAATGGGAATCCCAGAACACTTGATCTTTCTAACGCGAAACCTATACTTGGACCAGGAGGAATTCATCAGAATAGAGCCAGGAAACAATGCATGGTTCAAAATTGGGAAGGGTGTTCACCAGGGATGTGTCCTATCTCCACACCTTTTCAACCTATAAGCAGAACAGACTATTCGGGAGGCTGGGCTCTCTGAGAATAAGTGTGGAATCAGGATTGGTAGAAGATTCATCAACAATCTGCACTATACAGATGACACAACGCTGCTTGCTGAAACTGAGGAGGACCTGACATGCGTGCTGCAAAGGGTCAAGGAGTGCAGCCTTTTATATGGATTAAGATTCATTATCAAGAAGACAAAGATTCTCACTACTGGACCAACTGACAGCATCAGGATGGATGGTGAAAAGATTGAGATTGTAAACAGCTTTAGTTTGCTTGGCTCCACACTCAACAATCTTGGCAGCAGCAGCCAGGAAATTAAAAGACATACTGTGATGGGAAAGTCTGCTGTTAGGGACCGCTTCAAAGTGCTGAAGAGCAATGGTGTCATTCTGGAGACTAAGGTGCACCTAATGCAGGCCATGGTCTTTGCCATTACTTGCTATGCATCAGAGAGTTGGACAATGACTAGGGAGGATAGAAGGAGAATTGATGCCTTAGAGATGTGGTGCTGGAAAAGAGTATCAAATGTACCATGAACTGCTAAGAAAACAAACAGCTTCATCCTGGAGAGGGTTATACTGGGCTATTCCTTGAAGGTAAGGATTCTGAGGCTTCTTTTGATATACTCTGGACATGGTGCAAGGAGGGACTAGTCCTTGGAGAGGGACATCATGTTTGGAAGGGTAGAAGGACAGCTCAGGAGGGGAAGACCCTCTATGAGGTGGACTGATTAGTGACTGGGGTAATCAGGATGGGTGTGTCAGAGGCAGTGAGACTGGCACAGGATAGAGCAGGGTTTAGGGCTGTTGTACATAGGGTCACTATGAGTC